ATTGAAATAAATAAAATTACCAGGAAAATCTCTACACCAGTTTGGTATTTCCATGTAACCAATATTAGTTTTATATAAATAAAAACACAATAAAATACATTTATGGAAAATAGCTGCAGTGCAGAATTTGGGGATTTTGATTATAAGTCATAAAAAGGGTTTTTTTAATGAGATTGTGTTTGAAACACAGAAGATACTCAAAGAGTTGAACTAAGTGACAAATGACCTTAGAGCCTGAAGATTTAATTTCCTACAATACTTAGTGGGAAATGGGAATTATTGAGGATATTTTTCCCTTTTCTTTCAAGACAACATTTCTTTGTGTAGGGCTGGCTGTCCTAGAACTCAGTTTGTAGACTAGACTGGAGTTGAGCTCAGAGATCCTCCTGCCTCTGCCTCTGAAGCGCTGCCATTGAAGGCTTTATGCCAACACTTTAGGCTTTAATTTTCTTTTCTTGGAGATGTAGTTATGTTTTCTCTATCTTTTTATACATACTGGCAATTTAGAAGGCAAATAAGATGAGACAACACAAGTTTGAAGCAGAAAATCATTCAGAAAAGAAACAGTATTTAGTTATAAAGGAATTCTTCGAGAAACAAAGACCCAAGTTGACTTCGAGCTACCAGGACCAAGTAGTTCTCCTACTTCAGTGCCAAATGGTTTTCAGGGTTCTTCTGCAGCTTACAACTATTGCAACAACATATGAAAATGCCATAAACTGTCACTTTTTTCTGAATCATGAGTTTATAAACAAGCATACACACGTTATTAACACAGAGATGCCATTAATGCCACTCTGCTACTGTTCTGCTTACCATTCTCCCAGGGGTGTCACAGCACTGGGACTCTCAAAAGTAACTGTAAGTAGGCTTCTATGTTTAAAAAAAATCAAGAAAAATATCCACCAACTCTAAGAACAGTGAATTATTTTTCTTCTTTCGGAGGGCAGGAGTTTGAGCCAGACTTTCTCTGTGTATTCCTGGATGTCTTGGAACCTGCTCTATAGACCAGGCTGTCCTGGAACTCACAGAGATCTGCCTACCCATGCCACCTAAATGATAGGATTAAAGGCATGAATTATTACTGCCTGGCAAGAACAGTGAATTCTATTATACACCTGTAAAATAATATAATCATGTAAATCAATATGATACATTATATAAAATAGCAATAAACTGAACACAATTTGCAAAGTGTGCCAGATTTATAGTGAACAAAAGAAAGCAATAGGTCTCTATACACACACTGTTATAGGAAATAGTGTTTGAGATACAATGTGAACTTTTCCAAAATAAAGAAATATAAAAATCCTACCCAGGAGAGATGATGATATCACATATTTATATTCTAACTTCGGTGTTTATTTCCAATAATGCATAATTTGGGGTGTATAAAATTGTCCTGAGTAAACTCCAATTCAAAAATGTTTGCTTGCGTGTGTAAACCAATGTCACATCTCTTGTATTTTGGCTAAAATTGTTGAGGTATAAACATCTCAATCGTTGATAGAGAACATATTATACTCACTCTAAACTTACCTGTTGGGAGGGGTTCAACATCTAGCTGTAGATTAATCTCAAGAAATCATATCAAGATCATTGTTAGCATTGAGTTTGTGAAAATCAATTGAAGATTTCATGAACTGTGTGCTTTACTTTTGCAGCTTAGTTTGATTAGATGTAAATTCTACCTCCACGCCTCATGAATTGTATATTAAAATGCAAAGTTTTATGTCCTCTTAACCTGTGTTATTTTGTATATCTGATGTTATTCTTTCTTGCAAATGTAAGCCACAGAAATGAATTTCAAAACCATTCTCTGAACCCTGGGAAAAATTTCAAACTCAGATTATAAATTTGCTTTCCAAACACTATGCTAACAAAATTATAGGATTTACCAAATAATGCTAACTCTGCCCTATTGTGGTTTCCTAAAGGAAACAGAGCAATTTTCTCTCAATCATTTGTTCAGTTTGCAGAAGCTTTTCAATCAAAAATAACAATGACCCTGCTTCAGGGGAAAACTGTCAAACAAGCTGATCTCTTAGTCCGAGGCCAGTCCAATCTATAGAGTGAGTTTCAGGACAGCTGGGGTTATGCCGAGAAAGCCTGCTATGAAAAACCAAAATGATAATAATAACAATAAAAAAAGACTGCATCCATAAAGACCTGCACACATCTAAAGATTTTCATAGGAAACCAACTCCTTTGAAGATTTTAACGAGGTATACAACACTGTTCAATGTTCTCAAATCTTTTGGCCATATTTAGAATCCTCAAATTATCATCATCACCACTTATATTTGCCTAAAACACTATTATTATTCACAAACAAAAGGAGGTCATTTTTATATGATATTTGACTGAGTTATTTATGGTATTCTGCTCTTCTGCAGGAATATTGTGAGCCAAAGTCCAGATTTTTTCTCATGTTTTAAATGATTCCTATTTACATCATTCCTGAATGACTGACCGATAGTTCTTATATAGTAGTTCTTGACTATTACACTGAATAAATGTCTCTCTCAATGTGGTATTGATTAAAACAAGTTAATTTAACTCATGAACACAACTAAAAAATATCACTCAATATAGAAAAGTATAACTCTATCTCAACACAGCATTTATGCAAAAGTGATGATTAATATAATCATGGGGAATTTTTATAACCAAGGCAAAAAAGACTCGTGTGCACATACCTCATATTCCACTTTCATTGAACAGAAAAGAGGTTTACTGAAGAAGGGTCGGCATTGTGGTGACAAGAGTGACTCTGGATTCTGAAAATTTGTACTTAGATGTCACCACTAGACAAGACAAATACCTCCGATTCTCATATCCTATCTTTATAATCCAGATGTCATAGGTAATACTACTGTCATTATACATAGAATGAAGAAAGAATTACTAAATAATATTCATGATGACAAAAATGAAGACAATGAAGAATGCCAGATTTCCAGAATGTTTTAAATGAGCTATCTCAAGAGGGACAAGACAAATAAATTTAATAACTTCATAAATTACTCTAGAAATTAAATGAAATAATGTACATAGGCAGTCACAGCAAGCCTAACAAATTGAAATAATTCACACAGTGTGGTTGAACATACACCAAGCAGGATTTTCTATATATATTGTATATAGTCTATACAAGTAGGCAGTGTGGCAGGGCATGGTGGTGAACACCTTTAATCTCACTCAGGGTGCAGATACAGGCAGATCTGTAGAGTTATTTTGTTTGTAATCTAACAAATAAAGATCCTGCCTGCAGATCAGAGTGCAGAGCTAAACCACCATTTAGTCACAGAGACCAGGCAGTGGTGGCACACACCTTTAACCCCAAAGAGACAGAGGGAGACCGATCTCTGTGAGTTAAAGGCCACCCTGAACTATATCAGGTTGAATCTGTCTAAAAGAGAATCAGAGCTCACACAAAGGTGGTCCCATGATGTGGGAGTGTCATATATCAATCTGTTGATTTCATTGGTTAAGCAATAAAGAAACTGCTTGGCCCTCATAGGTTAAAACATAGGTGGGTGGAGTAAACAGGACAGAATGCTGGGAGGAAGAGGAAGTGAGCTCAGAGAGACTCGACAGCTCTGCTCTCCGGAGCAGAGACACCATGCCCCGCTCCCCGGCAGACACACCCGATGAAGCTCCAACCCAGGATGGACGTAGGCTAGAATCTTCCCGGTCTTACCGGTGCTCACTAAGACGGGTGCTCACAGATTATTAGAGATGGGTTGATCGGGATATCAGAATTAGCCAATAAGGGCTAGAGCTAAAGGGCCAAGCAGTGTTTAAAAGAATACAGTTTCTGTGTAATTATTTCGGGTAAAGCTAGCCGTGCGGGGGGGGTGGGGTGCCGGGGCCGCAGCCCGCCGCTCTTATTTCAACAGTCCCAGAACTTGGGATCCTGCACCTTTAATCCCAGCACTAGGGAGGTAGAGACAGGAGGGATATGACTGGGTGGAGAGAGAAATATAAGATTTGAGGAGACAGAAGCAGAAGTGCAGTCTGAGGATTCATAGAGACAATCAGTCTGAGGTTCGAAGAGAAAAGATTCAGTCTGAGTCTTCACAGAAACAAGATTGTCCCTTCGGTCTGAGGATTCGGTAGAGACAAAAGGTTTCTCTAATGGCTAGCTGAACTACTTCTCTGATCTCTCCATTTTCACCCCCTAATATCTCACTCTGAGGTTTTTTTTTTTTTTTTTTTGGATTTTTCGAGACAGGGTTTCTCCGTAGTTTTTTGGTTCCTGTCCTGGAACTAGCTCTTGTAGACCAGGCTGGCCTCGAACTCATAGAGATCCACCTGCCTCTGCCTTCCGAGTGCTGGGATTAAAGGTGTGCGCCACCACCGCCCGGCTGAGTTTTTATTATTAAGATCAATTAGAATTCGTGGTACAAGATCTCTGTGACTTCCAGGCCAACCTGCTCTACACTGTGAGTTCCACGCCAGCCAGGTCTACACAGTATCTTTCCCAAAGAAAATAGGCATTGGGCAACACGAAATAGGGGCATACCTCATGGTTACCTTTTGTATGATTTTTCTAATATTTATTTTCATGAAAATCATTTTTCCACAACTCATCATTTAAAGTAGATGTGCCTGCTCACACCTTCATGGATTTCTATTTCTATAGCATGGTTTACTTTCTGTGTATAAATATATATGATTTATTTCTTCAGTAGAATTAAAGGGTATGTTTTTTTGCCATTTGACCAGCACAGGCCATGGTGCTGGACTTCACCACAAATGACAAGACTCTCAAACTCAAAGCACAAAGAAGTGAGGATTCCCTTTCCCTAAAATACTTTCACATAGCTTCTTGACAAGGACCAAGAATTGAAGAAAAATAATGCTAATTCACAGTGGAAGAAATTTATCAAGTAAGTAGAAGACTCAATAAGTTAAAAACTTTGAGAAAACAGCAGTAAGTTTGGCAGGTGGTTAAAGAGAATTAACATCACGTTAGGAAGTATCTAAAATGCTGTCTATCCGAAGCGGTCGAGGGCTTTGAAGAAACTGTCCTTGAAAATACAGCAAGACTAGTAAGAGAGTAGAAAGTAAGATCCCCTTGAAAGGCAATGCTAAAACTCTACCCACTTCAGCTGTCAGCTCACAAAACATGCTACTGAATATAAAAATCACTAAGAAAATAAGGTACTTCAAGCATGCCCATCTCCATCAGTAAGAGGCAATGTCATAGTTTATAATAAGTTGAGAATTGAAATCAAATTCAAAAATTAAATAATACACAAGCATAATAAAGGGCAAAGGGCACCTGTTAGAACAATAAATGGCTGCAGGTTTGAAAATTAGATTTGAGCCCTGCCTATGCTCTGTATTTCCCATTATGGTCCTTGACTTCTTACTGGCTTAATTTAAAGAAAATATTGGCTCATTCTAATTCATTTTTACTAGTATTGCAACTACTACTATTATTGTTATTATACATAGCACACTGAAAGCATCACTAAATCATATCCATGATGACAAGAGTGAAAGGCAATGAAGTGGCTAGTTTTCCAGCATTCTTTTTTATTGATTTATACTTTATGTATGAGTGCTCTGCATGCATCCCTACACGCAGGTATCAGATCGTATTATAGATGGTTGTGAGCCACAATGTAGGTACTGGGAATTGAACTCAGGACCTCTGGAAGAGCAGCCAGTGTTCTTAACCTCTAAGCCATCTCTCCAGTCCCTCCAGTATTTTTTAAATGAGTTGCCATGAGAAATTAAACAAATAAATTTAATGCTGAAGATAGAATAGTAAATTGATAAATATCCATGACATCACCAGGCATGAAATGTATTCCTGGATTTTGGTACTTACATTCTCAAAGATCTTTTGTTGGACTCCACTATCTCCAGAACCCAAACTAGGGGGAATACTGGGACTGAAGGTCATGAGGTCTGTCTTTGGTAGGCCTTCTCCAGAACATACCCTCTGCCTCCTTTGCTGAGAGTAAGACCATCTTACCTTTGCTAAGTATTCTGACTCTAAGGGCGGCTGTCTCTCCTCTGCTGATTCCGGACCTTGGGATAGGCTGGGGCTGAAGGCCATGAGGTCGGTCTTGGGCGGACCCTCACCAGAGCACACCCTCTGCCGCCTCTGCTGTGAGTATGACCAGGTCCCCACCGCGCTGGAGCACACTAGCACGGGCTTGCCAGGAGCACAGGCTCCATCTGTGGGCGTCGCCGAGCAGCGCAGCGCGGTGTACAGCAGCAGCGTGAGCACCAGCAGGCTTGACACAGCGCAGATGGCGATGATCAGATACACGTTGACATCCACCAGCGACGCCTCTTGGCCAATGGCATCTACCAATGCTTTTGATGAGGTTTTTGGAGCTTGGCTGTTCTCAAGCAGAGAAACGAGCACTGTGGCTGTGGCAGTCAGAGCAGGTTCACCATGATCCTTCACCAGCACCAGCAGGCGCTGGTGCAGCGCATCCGCTTCATCCAGGGCGCGTGTGGTGCTGATCTCGCCGGTATATAGGCCCACGCGGAACAGGCTTCGGGAATTGCCTGCTGACGTCTGGAGTTCATAAGAGAGCCAAGCATTGTAACCAGAGTCTGCATCCACTGCTCGCACCTTGGTGATCACGTGACCTGAACCAACTGACCTAGGCACAAACTCACTCACTGCCCCTCCCGCTCCCACGGCTCCGTGGGGCAGCAGCGTGGGAGCATTGTCGTTCTCGTCCAGCACAAACACCTGCAGAGTCACATTGCTGCCCAGGGAAGGCACACCAGCATCCCGCGCGCTCACCTGGAACTGCAGCAGCTCCAGCTCCTCATGGTCCAGAGGCTGCAGCGCGAACACCTTGCCGCTCTCCGCGTGCACAGACACGAAGCTCGACAGCGAGCGCTCGCCCACCCGCCTCTCCACCAGCGAGTAGGACACCAGCGCGTTCTCCTGAGCATCTGCGTCCATGGCAGACACCGTGAAAATGTGTGCGCCAGGAGGGTTGTTCTCCTTCATGAACACCGTGTATTCCGGCTGCGCAAACGTGGGCGAATTGTCGTTCACATCAGCCACCTCCACGGACACGCTGGCTGTGGCCCACAGGGAAGGCGAGCCCCCATCCCTGGCTGTCACCACCACCTTGTAGTCAGGTGTGGTCTCTCGGTCCAGAGCGCTGTCCAGCACGAGCGAATAGTAATTCTTGAAGGTGGACACCAACTTGAAAGGGACATGAGGAGTCAGAGAACAGGTCACCTGCCCGTTGACAGTAGAATCACGGTCTGTCACACTGATTAGGGCAATAACTGTCCCCAATGGAGCATCCTCTCGTACAGGGAGTGATAATGATGTTATTATTAACTCGGGAGCATTATCATTGATGTCCAGGACTTCAATTAAGATTGTGCAGTGACCGAACATTGGAGGACTGCCTTTGTCCACTGCTTCTGCTTGAATCTTCCATAAACTAGCTTCTTCAAAATCTATTTTTCCACTGACTTTAATTTCTCCACTGACTGAATCAATATAAAAAGTAGCTTCTGTCTTAGGGGAAACATCCGTTGCAAAGGAATAAAGAATATGACTGTTCGAACCTTCGTCCAAATCCGAGGCATTTAGTTTAACCACCATCGTACCATTTCTTGCATTTTCTACCAGCTTCACCCGATAGACTGCTCTGTCAAACACTGGTGCGTTGTCATTTACATCCAGCACTGTGATATGTAGTTCCAAGGTGCCTGTGAGCTCGGGTTTGCCCCCATCCGTTGCTTTAACCACTAAGTGAAGCTCAGAAGCTCGTTCTCTATCTAACGGTTTCTTTAACACTAGTTCCAGTGGTTTAACCTGCTCATCTGTACTTGGTACTTCCAGAGAGAAATACTCATTGGAACTCAGTCTGTAAGTCAGCAGAGCATTGGTTCCAATATCTGCATCTGAAGCGCCCTCTAGTGAAAAACGAGAGTCTAGAGCTCTTGTTTCCGAAACAAAGAGACTCTTCTGTGCTGTTGGAAACACTGGAGGATTGTCGTTAATGTCCCTCACCTCCACCTCCACATGGAAAACCTGCAGGGGCCGGTCCACGATCACCTCCAGGTGGATGCTACACTCCGCGCTCCGCCTGCACAATGCCTCCCGGTCGATCCGAGAATTCACAAACAAAATGCCATTCTGCAGATTTACCTCCAGAAGGTCCCCGCGGTCCTTGGACGCCACCCTGAACAGGCGGGGCACCAGCTCTGCCAGCTCCAGCCCCAGGTCCTGAGCGATGCGGCCCACGAAGGTTCCGTGTTTGGCCTCCTCGGGGATGGAGTAGTGGAGCTGGCCGCTCCCTGCCTCCCAGATTGTGAACAGCAGAAGCGAGGGCAGTAGGCACCAGGATCCCTGGCAGTACGTCATGGCGACAAAAGACATAGTCTCTTTGAGATTTTATTTTATTATTATTCGCAGTGGTAGTAGTATTCTTGCTCCGGGATAATCGCAACAATGTGGGTGCTGTTTATAATCTTTAAAGCACGGGGCCAGCTTCTTTCCGGTCTGCAGATGTTCTGATTTTCTTCCATTAGCGCTCTTGTTGGAGAACAACGACATCCTGTGGCTCAAAGTGTAAGTGCATTTGCGCTCTGCGATTTAAGCTTACTTCGGATGCCATTTGTAGGTTTTCGGAATGCTTTTCTTTGTAGGTTTCTAGTTAGTTCACATTTCAACAGCCGGTACCTGACTAAGGGTTGTTTTATCTTAGACTTACAGTTTCTAGAGTAGTTTCATCTTCTATATAGACATCTAAGAACATACTACTGCACAAGCTGTATTATCGTGTAAAAAAGTATGTGGACAAATTACATTTGTATTGGCGATACAGCTTTTTAAGAGATTTGTAAGAAATATATTCGAACGCCGTGTATCCAACCTCTTCCTATAACTTTGTAATTGTGTTCTGCTGACTCTTTTAAAATAGTAAATTATTCTGATTATTTGATTTAACTCTATAGAAAATAATTGAAGATGCAGATTTTCTGTTACCACCGCAACACAATGGGATTTCAATTCAATACTAATAAGTTATTTACTATTTTATCCGAATAATTCTTTATTTGATATTAATAAATTTACTCAGCACAGACTGTGGGAAATTTAGAGCATATTTTTTAGGCTATCTAACTTTAAAGTTTTTGTTCAGTCATTATATCTGTTCAGGATTAAGGTTATTTCTGTCATATTAAAAAACTTCAATGTCAATTATACTTATTATTTACTTGGAAAAATTCATTAATTTTCATCCAAAAATAATGTCAGGAGTTATATTTATCTGTTTATAGTATTTTCTTAGAAAACTATGTGAAGAGTCTAGAATATAAAAGTTATTCTAAATCTCATTCATTCAATTTTGTTATCATTTAACCTGAGATACAAAAATATATTGGAATTTATATGGAACACTTATAAATGGCAATGAAGTTCATCAGCATTTTGTTAAAGAAGAAAATATTTTAATCATCTCAAGACTATATGGAACCAATTAATCAGCATCTGAATCTTGCCAGTAATATTAAGTCATTGAAAAACTCAAATATTCCCCTACTAAAAAGTGATTGTAAGTGGATACCCAAAATAATCGAGTTTATTTTCTTTATATGAACTTCAGTTTTCAATTGAACACACCAATAGTGACTTAATGACTATGAATCTATACCAAAGAAAAATAGTTCTCATTGTCTGCAATTGTTTTTGTGATTGAAGACACAAATCCTAAATCAATACATTGTACTGTTTAAAAGAGAAAGAAAAAATTAGCCTATTGAGCTGATTAGAGTTAGAAAAAAGATCATGATGAAAATTTTTAATCTCTAGTTGTCTGAGTAAAATACGCAATGTTTTTCGGAAAGACTCCATACTAAATGAAGGTCCATCACTATTTTGGATTGGAGGAATATGTTACCAATATACATATAAAGAGTAATTTTTAGATTTGTGTGCATAGGGGTTTGCAGAACTAGTTAAGGGATCATGAGAGAAGTAGAAAAATTCTCAAGAGGTGAGAGATCGAGCAGGTACTGGAAAACATGAAACAAGAAAACAAAAAGCCAGGCAAACTAGGGACAGAGAAGGGCACCAGACAGAGAGGTGAGAGGAAGAGGAATGAAGGGCAGGAGTGTAATGAGAGATGTGTGACAATGTCATCACAAAGCTCCTTAATTTAAATGCTAACCTAAAAACTTACTTTAAAAAACTTAAAATGCAATTTGCAATGTCTTGACACTACAAGGTTTCCATGAATCTAACAATTATAACAGTAAATCCATCTGCTAGTAACACATCTCAAATACTATCAAGCCAGGTGTGATGGTGCAGGTCCCTGATCCCTACATTCAACAAGCAAAAGAGGGATTGAGAATTCAGTAACTATACCAAGATGATGTGAGAGGAGGATGGGGAAAGAAAAGAGAGAAATAATAAAAGACATGATTTAAGTTTCATGGGGGAAATCCTAATAGGTACTTAAGAGAAAGCGGAAAGATTTAACTATACATTTCTTTTAACTGAACTGTTAGCCTTATTTCTTTGGGTTGTGTACTCTGGATATTGTTCTGAGTTTATTCACAGATAATCTTGTAAAAAAAATTACAACATGAAAAAGTGAGTGAAAAGTAATAGCAAAGTCACCAACCTAAAAAATACACAATAACTCAGTAAGTTTATATCTACTAGATATAGCAAATAAATAAAAAACAAAGATATCTACTATTATAAATATTATACATATAAACATATGTATGGTCAGGGGGAGAGAGAGAGAGAGAGAGAGAGAGAGAGACAGAAGAGAGATAGAACCAGAAACAGGTTCTCCTCTTAAAGTTGGCAGCTAAGCCAGGTGTAATGAATAGGTCATGCCTGTAATCCTGGCACCTGAGAGGCTGATGCAGGAGGCTTTGAGGCTAGCCTGAACTACATAGTAATTATAGGCCAACCTGGGCTATTGTGAGACTCTGCCTCAAAAACATAAAATAAAATAAATAATTGGATATCAAACTCAGGATAGCTGAAACATTTGATTAATATGAGCTCTGACTATGGAAAAACAGGAAATTTTGATATGATTTCAAGTCAAGGCATATATTTCATAAGTATACTTGATATAGTGGCTAATAAATTTTTAATTTAACATGCATTTATTATCCATAATCTCTAAAATTTGGCATTGAGGCCAGTCATGAAAAGCTCGCAATTGAAGGCAATATTGTGCTTGCATTTTTGCCCTGATTTTTGTGTTGTCAAACTTGCTTAATGATGTCAACTTTTGTTGGAATTTATGTGTGAAACACAGACTGGATAACAAATTCATAGTAAATGGGAAAGGACAAGAAATTGCTAGGGACCAGAACTGAAATGATAAATGCTGATTGTCTTGGTGATGTTGGGATTACTTTGAAAACTGAAACCATGGGTTATCAGATAACCACTAGTTTCAGTAAAGCACAATTGATTGGGTGTTTTTGTCACCATTGCTATTACTCAGGGTTCTCAGGAGGAGCAGAACTTATAGAACATTTATTAGAATGGCTTATAGACTGTGGTCCAGCTGGTCCAATATGATTGCCTACCAATGAAGACTCCTAGAATCCAGTAGTTGTTAAATCTATCTCAGTTGGCCGTAAGTATACACTAGAATCCTAAAGAAGTCGATTCTAACACCAGGGAAGGAATGGACTTGCAGTGAGAGCAAGAGCAAGCAGGCAAAGAGAGTAAGCGTCCTTCTTCCATATCCTTTATATAGGTTGCCACCAGAAGGTGTGTCCTAAGCTAAAGGTGGCTCTTCCCACCTTAAAAGATCTCGATTAAAGGTATACAGCACCACCTCAAAAGATGCAGATTAAAATTGGGTCTTCCTACCTTAAAGAATTTAATTTATAAAAAAAAATCTCTTACAGGTGTAACCAATTGATGAAAATTTAAGTAATTCCAGATGTAGTCAAGTTGACAACCAAGAACAGTCATCACACCATGTAACTTAACTATCTTGTTATATATAAAACCCATCTCTACTCTGTTTAAGATAACAATAGAAGCTATTAAACTAAATCATACACCACAGAAAAAAATATTTTGAGTATAATTTAATTTTTTCTATTTTAATACTAAGTTAGACTAAAGTAACACTTTTAATTTCATATTTCTTTTTTCCTTTTTTTGAATTTTTTGAGGTAGGGTTTTTCTATGTAACAGCTAACACAAGGATTCTACTGGTGAAAGCTTCTGTGTTCATAATAGTTATATTAAAATTACACATCTCAAGCAGGGTATTGCATACTGCATAGACAAACATCATAAATAAACTTCTAGAATAAAGTATACTTGAAAGCATCACTAGAAATTTTGGGGCATAGTGGTCCTCAAAGAAAATATAGCCGGGGATATATATTTGTCACAGAATAAAGCGAGAGAGAAAATCTATTTTATCAAGCAAAACACAAAAATAAAAAAAGTAATAGCCCACCTGCCCGGAAACGTCTCCTCCAGCAGAATGGTTTTCGGCTCCCACATCGGTCACTGGGTAGGGTGTAAGACTGGGGCTGAAGGCCATGAGGTCAGTCTTGGGCAGACCCTCTCCAGAACACACCCTTTGCTGTCTCTGCTGAGAGTACGACCAGGTCCCCACCGCGCTGGAGCACACCAGCACCGGCTTTCCAAGCCCGCACCCACCTTGCATAGGCACTGTGGAGCAGCGCAGCGCGGTGTACAGCAGCAGCGTGAGCACCAACAGGCTGGACACCGCGCAGATGGCGATGATCAGGTACACGTTGACATCCACCAGCGACGTCTCTGAGACTGAAGCACGCCCGGATGTCTGTGAAAAGGACTTTGGCGCCTGGCCGCTTTCCACTAGAGACACTAACACAGTTGCAGTAGCTGTCAGTGCAGGCTCTCCATGGTCCTTCACCAGCACCAACAGAGTCTGTCGAGCGGCATCCGCCTCATCCAGGGCACGTGTTGTGCTGATCTCTCCTGTGTACAGACCCACCCGAAAGGGACTGCGCAGGCTCCCTGACGCCGACTGCAGCTCATAAGAGAGCCATGCATTGTAACCAGAGTCCGCATCCACTGCTCGCACCTTTGCCACTATGTGCCCTGAACCCACTGATCTAGGCACCAGCTCGCTCACTGACCCGCCGGCTCTTACAGCTCCGTGGGGCAGCAGCGTGGGAGCATTGTCGTTCTCGTCCAGCACAAACACCTGCAGAGTCACATTGCTGCCCAGGGAAGGCACACCAGCATCCCGCGCGCTCACCTGGAACTGCAGCAGCTCCAGCTCCTCGTGGTCCAGAGGCTGCAGAGCAAACACCTTGCCGCTCTCCGCGTGCACAGACACGAAGCTCGACAGCGAGCGCTCGCCCACCCGCCTCTCCACCAGCGAA